CGATCATCATCGCCTTTGCACTGCAGGTGGTGGTTGGGGTGGGGGGAGGGGGGAAGGGGGGGAAGCGGCTCAGGTGGAGGGGAGGGGGGGGTTAGCACGACCGTCACCAGCTCCATTAGGACGACCTTCCGCTGGCGATGATGATGATGGTGGTGGTGGTGATAGTGGTGGCGATGGTGGGGGCGTTTTGCGGGGCGTGTACGCCATGTACTGCTCTTCAAGTGCATCCATGTACAATGGGGTATGTGCCGATGTGTACGAGTGCAGGACGCGGCTTTCCGTGTGGGCCTTATCATTGCGGTGGCTGGCTCGTTCTTCCTGCTGGTGATGCGCACTGTGGCCTGGGACAGCCGCTACAAGAAGGTGTGGTTAGGTTAAGGGGGGAAAAGAGTGGGGGGCGGCGGGAAGGGGGGGAGTGGGGGAAACGTGCCGGGGAAGGGAGGGAACAGAGTGGGAAAAATGTGTGAATGTATGTGTGTATCGCGCCGCCTGCACTGTACCGCACCTAGGACCTTCTGCCGGAAGAAAGATGTGGAATGTACGAATGCCGTACAGATCTGGCCAATACTGGAGCTCATCTCCGTACCGATGTTCGCCATCCTGCTGGGCCTGTCGTACGTAAACCTCTACCAGGTGCGACTTCTGAGGATGCACACAAGGACCGTGCGTGTGTAAGTGTGTTTTTTGCCCACTTGCAAACCCGTACGACACCCCGGAAGTAGTGCGCGTTGTTTTGCGTCCAGGATTCGTACTTCACCCTCAATCCCCCTCAACCCCCCTTCCCCCCTCTGCCCCCTCGGAACCCCTATGCCCCCCCAGATTAACAAGTGGTTTCCGACCATCGTGGGAATCACCCTCGCGTTCACCGCCCTGGTGGGTCGGTGGGTCGGTGGGTTGTGTGCTCCGCTGTAACCCAAACCCACACGCGCGGTCAATAATGAGGTTCCTCCCTCCCCTCCCTCCCTCCTTCGGTCGGCTAGCCGGACTAGGATAGTCGGGTCGGT